ATCTGTTCTGAATAACCTGCTGTTAGCTGAACAAAATTTGGCGTTGTTGTAGCCTGTTACACTTAACAAGTTTTCGTTTCCGCTACTGGACTACAACTTTCTAGATTGGTCCGTTTTCTTCCGCTGTGAACTTTCTTGTTGACGAATGCAGTTCCTTTGTAGCTGAGGCAGGCAACGACCGAGAACTTCCTTGAATTTTGCAATCCATTTCGTTACTCTTGGGATTGCATATTGTTGGGTTTAATTATGAGAATGGAAGCATCTCGCAACTCTTCAAATATACTAGAAAATATTTCAGTGGGTTTCTAGAATTGTTATGAGTTCCTTATACCAGAAATTGCAAGCGAAGTTCTTATCATGGCTCATCATCCTTTCCCCGATGACATTCATATGAGAAGATATTATTTAAAAGTCAGATTTTCCTAGAAGTTGCTTCAAAATAGAGAAGTTCTTACCTTATTTAAGAGATGATGATGTGTGAAACAATAACATCTGTGAAGTAAGTATGTACATTGTATTGACATCCATGCAGCTTCTATAATAGAATACAATATAGTAATAGAAACATATTCATTTGATTTTTCTATTAACTTTTATAGACTGCGAGAAGACCGTTGATTGGTGGGTAGAATTCTGATAATTTGATAATTGTAAAATACTTCACTATAACAAACGTTGATACTTCGTACTGGAAATAGTTCGTATGAGAAGAGAAGTACCGAGTCTACATATTTGACTATATATAGTAAGATCCCAGGGCTGTTAGGCAGAACTTATTTTCTGGAATACAAAACGTGGGATATTCTATAGCGACTACACGTACTTTGAACCTGTTAAGATGACGGATTTACAGGTGAGAGGTGAGAAAGGTAAGTAAAAATAAGGCTAACTTAACTTTAATTCTCATGGCCGTTTTTTATATAAAATATACTTTGTAACACGTCATTACAAAGTTCGAAGTACATGTACTGAGTGATAAAAAAGATAAACACCCACGTATGTTTATCCGATTTTAATAATTTTTGGCATATATTTATGTTCAGTGTCCGTTACTAGTAAAATGATTTAATTTTCGACTTGACTCGTCAATTGACTGCAGAATCTGGTTCAATAGTGTGTTGAGGATCCACGATTCCTTATACACTCATTGCGTGGGCATCGTGCTGATAAGGTGATCGATATCCTGTTGGGTATCTCATTTCAGGCTACTGCAACTTTGTGAGTAAGTGCTGCTAAAGTCTGTGGAGGGTGTTACAAATTCAAGACATGTTCAATTGGAGATAGGTCAAGCGATCGTGGTGGCCAAGGTAAACGGTTGATGCGATGTTGATTCATGAAGGCTAGCGATCCTCTGGTAACATGCAGTCTGGCATTGTCTTGCTGAAAAATCGGGATTTGGATGATGTCTAGGTATGGAATAATATAAGTCTCCACTACCTCCTGTATATAGCGCCGGGCAGTCATATTGCCCCTGATGAAGATTAGTCGTAATCTGCTACCATAAGCAACAGCACCCCATACCATAACTCCCACGGTGTGGTGAACGTGACCCTCTCTGTCAAATTGTGAGTCACGTCTGTCACCAAGTCGCCTTCTCACTCTTGCCCGACCATCGTGCATCCAGAGCAAACAGCTGCGCCGATGTTCAGCTGTTAGAGGTAAGCACCCCATGTGGACGATATGAAAAAAGGCCAAACTATCGTATTGGGCGATATACAGTACGCATACCAACCATCCTTCTCTTCAAACCACTGGTTAGCGACGGCTTGAGTACTACTGAACCTGTCTCTGAGAGCCAGAAGTCTTAACCGGCGGTCTTGTCGCTCGGTGGTCCCTCTGGGACGTCCAGAATCGCTCGCTCGCTGTCCTCGGCTTTCCTGAGTCCTTGTTCATGGTAAGAAAAGTCGATTTGTAAAAAATTCTTGAATTCTAGTATACATAATTATGTAGGTGTTTACTATTTTTGTCACTCAGAATTTAAACACTACTCAACGCCCTAGAAAAAAAAAATATGTCTGACAGCCCTGGGATCTTGCACTAACATTTTTTCCTACATGAGCGATGGTCGTCATGCTACATAGAGTTTATGTATATGTACTCTTGAAATTGCAAACATCAAATACAAATTTAGTTAAACGCATACATGAGGCTCAAAATTAAGTTCCAAACACGTTCCAGTAAAACCAATATTTGAATAGAACAAGTTCATCCTAAGACAAAGCTAAGAACGTTATGTTAAACTGTGTTTGAATTATTAGACATTGTATAATTAATGAGATGAAGCAATGTTCAACAGAAAGAGAAATAAAATAAATCAGCCCGCGCAAAAGGAACAGTTGATACAGCAGCAAACATTCTGTGAAATATAATATTACAGCCATATATCACTAAAGTATTGGAATATCTAGTGATATATTTCTGCACTCCACAGTAGATGCATCCGAGTCGATACATCATATTCATGTACACCTACTATTTCGAATATCAAGGATTGCACACAAATTTATATCTCTGTAAAAGATGGAGACCATTCGGTACGCGAGGTTACTTCGTTTGAGCTGATACGAATAAAGCAATATAAAAAGGAACTTAAGCTATTGGGTATCCTGAATTGCACAAGCAATTTGTCGAAGACCTCAAATATGACCAAAAAACTAACACTACCGGTATTATATGTTTTTGCGTTATAATGATAATATTAGATGGTCTTTATTAATCATTTTAGATGCTCTGGGAAATAAAAATAAAAAATCAATAACAACGATCAAATGATGAAAGCCCAAAGCTGATCTTCTGGTAACTCTCGGGTAAAATAACGCTCAAGGCAAATATATAAAAACGACGTATACTAGAAAAAATCATGTTCGTTTGGCACAAGTTAGCCCTTCTGAGAAAAAAGTTAGCCACGAATATGTATACCAAAAAATTGAATGACCTTCCCCCTATTGGCTTTCACTATGAACAGTGCACGCAGCGCACAGTAATGTGGAAGCGATTGCCACCTGTGACGTACAACTACCGACGTCAGGGGAGGACGTCGCACGTATCGACACTCGAATGTGGAAGATAGTTTTAAGGGTGAATGTACGGAGAGATCTAAGATGAGTGAAATATGCCTAATATATGTGTAGAACCATTGGGGTTGAGGGTGTACAAATATACCAACGCCAGAGAATCAAAATATACCTCCCCATTCCCTGCAACACCTAAACATAAATGTTGAGCCGCATAGAAAATGTTTTCCTGAAGTGATCAGGATATTCTAATACGTCAAGAAACAAAAGTTGAGGGTTTTTTTTTTCGTTTTTGGCATTTTTTCTCTGCCGACACTACAGATTTTGAGAAACTACAAAGCTTTTGCGTCCCAGGCATAGTAGTGACATTGTATACAAATTTCATCACAATCCAAGCGGTGCTTTTCAAGCTATAGGCAGTTGATAGATTAGCGAAACACCGATAGACAAACAGACAGACAGACTGACGAAAATGAGTGACTTCGCTTTTTGTGATGTGGTACATACATGTCATATAACACCCAAAGAACATAATATCTCATTTTCGAAAATGTTCGCGATTACAGTACTTCCCCGCCAGTACGCGGGTAAAACACAAATATTTTTTATAAGACCATAATTCTTTTTTTGGAGTTACATTTATGAAATAATGATACTCAATCAGCATTTTCAAATTTTACGAATACATGGAAATAGGCACGATCGAAATCCGTGGGTAGTACCGAGTCAGTCTACTTTTCAGAAAGCTTTTTTTTGATATGTTGAGATTTTCTGCCTCTACCGAGTCTGATAGACAAAGTTGTCACAATCAATTTTGAAAAGGTTCTTTCATCTGCTGTAGCTACAAACTGGATGATCAAAAATAGGAAACACAGTACTTTCACCGAGCGTACGATCTACGGAGTTTGTAGTTAAGCATGCGGTCTCAAAAATTAACTCTTCACGCACTTTTTTTCTCGCGTCAGGGCCCCTGAAGCATCCCGTATCATGTATACCATTGATTCCCAAAGTGGTCTATATCGACCCCTAGGGGTCTATGACAACCTGCAAGGGGTCTACGTCAGCGAAAAAAAAAATTGCGGTTCCATGAAATGAATATGGGGGTCCACGATTGTGGATCTCAACACATTCACTGATAGTACCTATTTACTTACATCATACTATCTTATAATATCAAAACATATACATTATTTATAAAAGTACCTATGAAGTAAAGAATTTATTATATATATGTTTATAAAATTGTGTAAGTTGTAGGATGTTGGTATTCGCTTTGTGGTCGCAATAAATTTTGAACTTGTAAAAACCTGAGAGTCGCAGTCTCAGAGCTTCGCTACCTTGCACTGACTTGTTCAATTCGTCACTCTATAAATACGAATGTGGGACAAATACGTTTATTCGTTTCCTGAATCTTGAAAAGGAAAGTCTTTAGAAAATATTTTAAAAAATATAAACAGATAGTATATCACACAAATTATAGTGAGTCAGTGTTACTTTGTTTGAGAGTGCTGGAGAAAAGTAAGTACATTATCTTTTATTAAATTTTAGTTTTGTACTCGTAGTTAGCAAAGATAGATAAATTACGCCAATCATGACTTTAGCTTTAGTAGTTAAATATTCAATTATGCAAAATTACACGAGTACTCCTCAATAGTTTCTTTTTGAAAGTTTTAGCAATCGGTAATATAATTACAGTGCAATCTCCGTAATTCGAGCTAATTGTTGCAAGAAGATGTTCGAATTATGGAATGTTTTCGGAAAAATCAAAAAATATTTTTAATATACAGCTGCTGGATTTTCTGTCTTATTTAAATAATTTAATTTTGCCCACAGATGACTGATGCCATGTCCGAATCTAATAAGAAATGTAGATGTGTTGATTATTTGAAATTTGGCTTCATTCCATCATTGCCGGACAAACAATCGTCTATGTGCCTTTTATGCAACAAAGTTTTGGGCAATGACGCTATGAAACCATCTAAACTGCAAGATCATCTGAGAAGATGCCACCCTGATAAAACAGAGAGATTTGAAATACTTTCAAACACTCAAACATAAATTTCAGAAGAGACCTACACCGGACAGAATGTTCGTTTCGACGTCACAAAGAAATGATGATGGTTTGCGGGCGTCTTACATCTCGTTACTTATAGCAAAATCCGGAAAACCGCATACTATCGGAGAGAAGTTAATTTTGCCAGCCGTTGAAGAGGTTTTAAAAATTGTTTTACACAAACCTGCATCTGATATCATTAAAAGGATTCCCTTAAGCAACAATACTGTTGAAAGACGTATTGATGAAATGAGTTCTGATATTGAAAGCTTCTTATGTAATTATTTGCAAACGACCCATTTCACTATACAACTGGACGAGACAACTTTACCTGATAATGCAGCATTATTATTGGCATATGTTCGTTTTATTATGATTCAAGGAATCTACGAAGAACTGCTCTTCGCAAGAACTTTGATAACCGACACCAAAGGTGAATCAATATTTCATGTTTTGAAGGATTACTTCATTGAAAAAGCAATTCTTTTATCAAATATAATATCAGTAGCTACAGATGGAGCACCTGCCATGGTTGGACGTTATCGTGGATTTATAAGCTATTTAAATCAAAATGTGTCAGGGGTGTTACCAATACATTGCGTCATCCATCGACATCATTTAGTTGCTAAAAATTTGAGTGTTAGATTGCATGAATCACTTCATTTAGTCATTGATGCAGTAAACCGTTATTTGCGCAGTTGTGTGAAGAAAATGACGAACACTTTCATCAATTACTCCTTCACACTGAAGTACGCTGGCTGTCGAAAGGCTTATGTTTGACAAGATTTTTTGCACTTTTTGAGACTATTCTTGAATTTCTGGATACTAAAGATAAAATTTTAAAAGAAAATTTAACCAAGAGGAAAACAGACATCGCCTGTTTAACAGATTTGTTTACAAAATTTAATATGGTTAATTTGCAATTACAAGGCGACAGTTTAAATTTGATTAAAACAAAGTCCATCTTATCAGCGTTTCTTGCCAGAGTTAAACTAATGAAGCAAAATATTGGTTTTCTCAGTTCCCCAATTTGTCACAGACAAGCTGCCAGGAAGACGACGTTTCAACTTACGTTCAACATTTAAATGCCCTCTATTCAGATTTTGAATCTAGGTTTGAGGATATTTTGACTACGGTAATACCACCGTGGATAATTAATCCATATGGTGACATAGAAGAAACGAATGTCATAATACAAGAGGAACTGACTGAACTAAGTGCAAACGAAGAACTTAAGGTTCAGTTTAAAAACGGATGTCGGCAATTCTGGCTGCAAAACAACGTACCCGTTACTTATCCCGTATTATGGAATATAGCGAGGAAATTTTTAATTTCCTTTCCATCGTCATACCTAGTGGAAAGGGGGTTCAGCGCTGTTACCAATCTCCTAACGAAAAAAAGAAACAGACTGGACATCATTAGTCGAGGAGATTTAAGATTAACCCTTCATCCTTCTCACTAAAAATATTGACTTATTGCTTATGTTATTTTATTTATAGTTTATTTTATGTTTATTGGTGTCTGACCAATAAATGCCCGCATTGGGAATAAGGCTTATGTTTGACAATATTTTTTGCACTTTTTGAGACTATTTTAGAATTTCTGGATACTAAAGATAAAATTTTTAAAGAAAATTTTATGAAGAGGAAAACAGACGTCGCCTATTTAACAGATTTCTTTACAAAATTTAATATGGTTAATTTGCAATTACAAGGTGACAGTTCAAATTTGATTAAAACAAAGTCCATCTTATCAGCGCTTCTTGCCAGAGTTAAACTAATGAAGCAAAATATTGGCCGGGGCGTTTTCTCAGTTCCCCAATTTGTCACAGACAAGCTGCCAGGAAGACGACGTTTCAACTTACGTTCAACATTTAAATGCCCTCTATTCAGATTTTGAATCTAGGTTTGAGGATATTTTGACTACGGTAATACCACCGTGGATAATTAATCCATATGGTGACATAGAAAAAACTAATGTCATAATACAAGAGGAACTGACTGAACTAAGTACAAACGAAGAACTTGAGGTTCAGTTTAAAAACGGATATCAGCAATTCTGGCTGCAAAACAACATACCCGTTACTTATCCCGTATTATGGAATATAGCGAGGAAACTTTTAATTTCCTTTCCATCGTCATACCTAGTGGAAAGGGGGTTCAGCGCTGTTACCAATCTCCTAACGAAAAAAAGAAACAGACTGGACATCATTAGCCAAGGAGATTTAAGATTAACCCTTACAAAATTGACGCCAAATCTTGATAATTTATTATTAAAGCATTAGGTTCATCCTTCTCACTGAAAATAATGACTTATTGCTTATATTACTTTATTTATAGTTTATTTTATGTTTATTGGTGTCTGACCAATAAATTCCCGCATTGATTTTTTTAAAGAACCCCCCTTTATAGAAAATATTTTTTTTTAAATTATTCTGAATATTCAAGGATAGGTACACATTAAAATTCGTTAATTTTTTGCGTATTTTTAGATATCTTAAACGTATAAGAAGCAGAATTTAATCAAACTAACAGTGAAATTATTGTAGAACATACGTTTATGTTATAATTAATAAATGAACTCGCTTATTATACTATTTTAAGTAAAAAACTTTTTTTCTATTATTTTTCACTTTGTTTTTATTTTATCCCTCTTATTTTTTTTCCATGCGGGCACTTATTCCCAATGCGGGCACTTATTGGTCAGACACCTGTTTATTTAATGTTACGTATATTTCACATAACAGATACAAAATTTTATTTTGAGTAGTTTTAATTTAAATTCAATTAATAAATGTATAAATTAACATGTGTTTTTACTTTAACTTTTTAACACTAAACTTCACTACAGTTAGAAATTTACAGGAAATCAATATCAGGTAAGTAGGGGGTCTACCCAACACGGAAAAACATGGCAAGCGGTCTACGACACAAAAAAGTTTGGGGAACTCTGATTTATACGGCGGTTACTACGTTCCTAGACCAAAAATTGACCCTTGGGGCGAACTCAAATCGATCAGTTCTAATTTGACTGATCCTAGTGGACGTGATTTAACATCCGAAGTTCATTAACAGATCAACAGTTTCGGAAGCATAGATGGAAGTATATCTCTGAATGTACTGTACTGACGAGTGCTGACCCTCGCTTAAATCGACCATCACACTCTATCCTCGTTATCCGAGTATACAAAGCACGATCGCTAGATCCTACTCTCAATACCGTTATTCCGTAACGATTCCACGAACTCCGGATACCCAACTGCTACCAACAGCGAAGAGAAACACTGCAACTATCACGTTGCAGGCATTATAACTGTATACAAACATCCGACTGACATGCAAATGATGATGGATATCAATATTTATTCATGATTTGGCGCGGATGCCCTTCCGTAAAAATTGTTATCCGAACACCACTTCCAACAGAAAAAAAGACAGGGGTGTTAGTCCGATCCTCATGGATTTTGAGGTCAGAAAAATTGATTCCGTGCTAAAATTTGATATGGTAGTACGTATCTATGGCATACGAAACTCATTTTCAAGGTGCAGTATGTCAAAGTTGAGGGGCTAGACCAGACTAGCTAGAACCGTATTCCGTGTCTCTCACACCCCTAGCTAGCATATTACGCTACCTGCAGGAAACCATAATCAATCAGCACATAATGTTTGCTCAAATTGTGCGTAAGAGGCTGAGCTGGTCCAAGCCTGTGCTTTTTTTTATTGGGAGCGTGTAGTTTCCAGTCGACCAATCACCGCGATGAATTCACGCATTAGCCTGCTGAACCTTGTTTTGACTGTCAGTACGTCGAAAATTAATTTTGTATAGGAATTAAAACCACTCCATACCCTACACGACACAATAGGCTACTTAACTCATTCTGATTTCATAAAATAAATGAACCTTTCTTTAAGTATTTGGCTTGAGAAAACAACTCCAATTTAAAAAAAAAATATTTTTAATATGAGAGAGATGTATCTGTAGTTGTCTCTATTAATGAATTACTTCCCAAACCAGCAAGACCATTGATAGAATGACGCCAAATTATTTCAATTTTAGTCAATATTTTTTTATTGTATGATCAACTACTTTGCGCTAACTGGAGCTTTCTTGATAGCCTAACGAATGTTGAAGAAGCTTGTAAGCAATTTGAGCCTAAGATCAAAAGAGACAGTAACACTGCTCATAAAGTTATGTAAGTAAAACGAGATGATATAAAGCGAGATCCGTCAGAGTTTTGGTCTTTTGTCATCAGCAGGAGAGGTCAAGGCTCTATACCCAAATATGGTATATGATAACATAGTTTGGATATAAGTGACCCTCAAGACATTTTGAATGGCTTTGCTGACTATTTTCAAAAATCGTTCATAAACAGTTCAAGTGGTAATACTGACTCTACTCAGACAATTGGATATAGCTCTTTAATTTTGACGAAATTGAATACAGATGAAGTTCACGAAGCCTTGAGAAGACTAAAACCTAAATTAAGCTCGACTAGGTGCAATTCCTACTTTTGTATTGTTGTATTGTGTGTTTGCAAAGCATCTAGCAATGATGTATAACCTTTCGCTAAGTAATGGTGTCAAGGTCTATCTGGTTGATATGAGTATAGGAAACAAATGTGATATTGAAAATTTCAGGCAAATCACGATTATCAACGTTTCAGAAGTGTTTGAGTTTCTTATTTATGATGCAGTTTATTGGCATGTGCATAATACTTGAATAACTCAACAGCATGGTTTCATGAAGAAGCGATCAACAGTTCCAAACTCATTCTGGAACTTTGGAGTGATTAGTCATCTCCTCTCACTTATAAAATCCTATCTATCTAAGAGAGTCACATACGTAATGCACAATGGCTGCAGGTCTAACAGTTATACGATTACATCTGGTGTCCCTCAAGGGTCTGGCCTGGGGCCACTATTTTCTATTATGTTTATAAATGATGTACACGAATTCATTCAACTAGATGTCCAGTTTCTCCTGTATGCTGACGATCTCAAGCTTCTTTGTTAGATTCGGTCTCTTGATGATTGTGGAAAGTTACAATGTAACATCAACATATTGGACAGCTCATGTAGCAAAAATTGCTTACCTTTACGTAATGCACAATGGCTGCGGGTCTAAGAGTTATATGATTACATCTGGTGTCCCTCAAGGGTCTGGCCTGGGGCCACTATTTTCTATTATGTTTATAAATGATGTACACTAATTCATTCAATTAGATGTCCAGTTTCTCCTGTATGCCGACGATCTCAAGCTTCTTTGTTAGATTCGGTCTCTTGATGATTGTGGAAAGTTACAATGTAACATCAACATATTGGACAGCTCATGTATCAAAAATTGCTTACCTTTAAATGATGCGAAGTTTAATGTGGTCAGTTATACCAGCAAAACCCAAGCAATCGTATTTGGCTATGATATTGGTGGTGTGCCTCTCAATCGCTTAGGCGAAGTCAAGGATTCAGGTGTCGTTTTTAATAGTAAGTATTGCTGCAATAGTCAAATGGAGACAATTATCGCTGAGTGTTACAAAAGATTCAGCTTTATCATACGCTGTGGTCGTGAGTTACAAGACATTAATACAATTAAGCTTTTGTGTTGGTCACTAATGTTCGTTCAAAGCTTGAATATGGATCACTAGTTTGGCAGCCTTTCTATAACTTCTGGATAGATGAACTTGATAATATCCAGCGACGATTACTAAAGTACCTACATTTCGAAGAAAATGGCAGTTAAAAAATTGTAGAAGAAGCCTTTGAACTAAAAAGTCTCAGGGGAAGGCGTGAATAGTGCTGCGTTCATTTTGTGCGTAATATATTGGATATTGTACAATTGTATCAATTGCTGCAATCTATTTTATAAATTTTATTTTCAAATTATAGACAGTTTGATGCTTATTATTTGCCTACCCCTAGAACAAGCATCTTACAGTTCTCATCACTATTTTACTCTTGTGGTAAAGATAATGACGCTGCAGAACAGTTGGATATCTTTCTGTGACGTTTCGTCAGTCTTTTTGGCACTATGATATTTGTACATATTTGTAAATAGCACCTCTGTGTTCGAACTACCTACTCTTGCTTGTATTATAAATTATTATTTTTTTCTGTAGTCCTGAATGTGTCCTACTCTGTGAATGGCTGTGGCTGTTGAGTAATGTATAAATAAGTAAATGAACAAATTTGAAAAAATTAAGGATTTTATAAATACATATTGATAAAATGAAAGCTGAGGCAATTTACTATAGGACAACACGTGTATTACTTCCACAATTCTTATCTCGGAGCGGTGAATAAGGTGATAGTTTAACAGTACTCTGACGGTTGTGGGCGATTCTAGTCTACAGGCTCAAAATTTTCGAAGAAAGAGAATCTTCATGGTCTGAATCTTAAAGTAATATAGTCTTGAAGGTGACATCTCTTCCGAAAGGTTATACACTACCGCTCAAATATTTTGGGTCAGTAACTTTTTTTAAGAGAACTTAAAATAAATAAGGCATATATGACATTGATTGATTATTACCATCTATAATACGACTATTCAAGCTAAGGATGTATTAAAAGCAGTGAAACACCCCTTAAAAGGGAATAATGTAAACATCTTTAGAGACGCCGATATTTTTGTTAGTTCATTGCAGTCATAAATCGGCCGAATTCCTGCCACTGCTTCCTTTTTTTGTAGTATGTATTATGTTCGGCTTAATATGATATATAAACATTCAGGTTATCAATGAAACAAAGTAAAAATTGTACGTAGTTTAGTATAAACTACTAGTCGATGTGCCAGGGTCAGTTTTTTCTAAAGTAACCGAAAATGGTAGAGACGGGTAACATTTCTCTTGAAGAACGGGGTGCAGTGTGTGCCTTACGTGATGACGAATTGCCAATTAGAGCGATTGCTGAAAGGCTGCATATAGGACGTAACAAGGTGTCTCAAATTTTGAAGAATAGGTGAGAAACAGACAGTGTCGTAGATCGTCCACGCCCTGGAAGACGCAGAATTACAACTCACCCACAGCTTGAATAGAACGAGGGAAAACCCTGTATGCGTGTCTACGGTAAAACGCCGCTTACAAAGGGCTAACCTTACAGGATGTGTAGCAGCACGTAAGCCACTCCTGCGACCTATACACAAACGCAATCGGCTAGCATGGGCCCAAAAACACAAGGATTGGACCATTGACGATTGGAATCGAGCCCTTTGGTCGGATGAATCCAAATTTGAAATGTTCGGATCTCGATGACGGCAGTTTGTACGCCACCAACCCCGTGAACGGATGACTCC